CCGTACAGCAGATATGTGAAGATATTCATGGTAAAACGATAAACTTAAAATCTAAAATACATATTACTAACATTAAAACTATAAAAGATGCAATCAAAGGAGAAACAAATTCTCTGTGTCCGTGTGTACACGGGCAGAAATGCCCTTTTGTCATCAGCCATGTTATTACAGTCAGTGATGTACAACAAATGGTGTTATAACAACATGAGCCAGTCAGCTTATGCCAACTTTTGTAGGTGGCATAGCGAACCCATAGAAATCTCTCTGATGAAATAAAATAATTTCCATTTTTCCATCCGACCTGGATATTTAATCAAATGAGGATGAGTAAAGCCGGCTCTAATACCCACATAAAACAAGATAACAACATATGGGCAGGGGATTCTATGGCTCCTGCACCACATAGACATAATTAGGCAGCAAAGGGAGTTCTCATGTCTGCTTTCCAGAAGGCCAATGCTAATGTTAAGTTTTCTCAGTTTAGAAACTGTGATAAGGTTAAGTATCTCACAAGCCTGAACAAAAGAGAGTAGCTACTCATGAATGTCTCTGGGGATGCAGGATTGATCTAGTTGCCTTTCCACATCAAGGTAGACTTCAAAATCTATAATCTTAAATTTGGCTATTTCATATTGTAATTGCCCCTTCTCTCTTAACAAAGGGACACAAAATGATAGGTCGGGGTGGACAACCATCTGAATAATCATAGAAGCTGTGGACAAGATTATCCTTACTTAGGAGGGTAGGCTACAGTATAAAAAAATAAGACGGCCTCTTGATGACAAGTAGGCAGAAATGATCATTTCTGCTCAGTCTGTTTTTCTAAAATGGATAAATAAAATGCTTCTAACAGGCAGAGATAAATGTGTCTTATTTTTTGTAAATGCACAAGCCAAGTACTGACAGTCACTCATCTAATACTTATCACTCTATAACTTTGTAGAACTGTAATGCCAAACAAGATTTTACAAATAGACTTTTAAAAGAAAAACAGAAGATACATGAAAAGTTAGAACGGTGGCAGGAGAGGCCAATGAACCCTTCCTGCCACTGTTTCCTGTTTCATTTGTTTGACTCCATCAACCCTGCTTTCTTAGCCACAGGAAAAAGAGCATCTTGTGCTAATAGGTGAAGGTACCCCAATAATTTACATTCTCCCTCCTGTTTTTAATAAATTCATAACTGAAGCACATACCAAAATGGAAAATATTTACAGAAGATACCTATGATATCTATCTGGAAAAAACCTCCTTGAATTCAACTTCCACATAAACATATTTAAGCCTCAGAGACAATAATGCTACATTTGTTTGAAGGTTTCAGTTTAAATCTCAGATCTAGCAATTGGTCAAAGTTTATACTCCTTCAGAGGACTGGAACAGAGAGCCATGTTTACATGCCAATGAATATTGACCATGGGATACAGGAGAGTTCAACTATTGATAGCATCTTCACGTTGCAGAATATTCTAGAACCTAACTGTTCTGCCACTGCTTTCAGAATGGGAATGAGAATGATGTTTAAGCAGAAAACAGGAGCAATCTGGATGCAGGTATCTCAGAGCTTCCTATTCAATGTGCTGATATCACCCCTCTGAACATGCAGGAACAATGTCATTTTCTTTATAGGAAATACCAAGTGTGGAGGAATCCACGACCATATCATGGTTGGAAGACCACAGACTCTTTATTATTAATCATTACTTAATATTAGCTTTTGAAAACTATTCCACAGGCTTTTATACAAGTGTGAGATTTTCTCTTTCAGAACTGCTCCCTAAAAGTTCCTGTTACAGTAGTAGCCTCTAAGAGTATTTTGACACTATAGTAGTTTCAAGTCACAGAGGGCACAATATTTTAAACAAGACAACTGTTTTCATTCATTTTAAATTTTAATGAATGCTTCTTTTTCTCAGTAAGACTCATTACTGAGGTTAACAGGACCAATATTAATTCTGAAAAGAATCAAGTACCTGACTTACCTAAATGCAGAATTACAAACCTTGGTGGTTTCTAGATTTGTACTTCCTTAGTTGTTTTGATAAACTTTGCACAGCTATAGCTGCAGAAGTAGAGCAACTGGTTTGTACAGTAACTATAATCTTTCAGACAACTGGCTTACATATTGTAACACAGGGTTTCTCAACCTTGGTAAATTTACTGGTTGAGGGATTCTGGGAGCTGAAGTCCAGACATTTTATAGTTGCTAAGATTGAGAAACACTGTTCTAACAGACGTGGGGATGTGAAGAATTCCTGATTACAATTAAAACATTTGGCCTTAATCCACAACCATACAGTTCAGCCCCCTGTGCCAATAACAAGTTGCATCTATAATTACCTGCTTTCAGTATTCAGATTTCAAGGAACAATGTGATATGCTTTTATTTTTTTCTACTCCAGGAACAAATATGTGATATTTTGGTTAACACAGCTGATACACTGCAATGCCACAAGGCCTATAAACCTGAAAGCAAAAACCAAGTACTTGAAACATTTTCCAAAACAAGTACTGTATACAAGTCACATGCCTTAATATTATGAAAAAAAAGAACTTTTTTTCCCTGCAAAGGTTATTCTTCTATGATGTTATATTATTGCTTTACCTTTCACAAAGGATAAATTGTCTGCATCACACTGTATAGACTGATTTAACATCTACCCATTTTAATTTCCTAAAGAACCAGTTTACAACAAAAGCCCAGCCTCTTCTGTTAGCAGCATAAAACATTACAAAACAATCCCAGATTATATCACACTTCTTTTTTAAAAAAGCAAAAGTAGAAAATGTGCTTTGTGAAATATTTCAGGGTATAACTGCAACCGAAAAGGAATTTTCAATACAGCATCTGTCCTGGTCTGTTAGATTTGACGCTTACATATTTAATTGTCACTACCAACGCTTTTGAAATTAAATTTCACCCAAATCTGTTAAGATTCACTTCCAAGGAGCGTGCACAGAATTGTAACTCTTAATAAAGAGCAAATATGGTACCCCACGAAAGTCCTGTTTTCAACATCTTGGTCAATAACTTTTTTTTTAAACACTGAGATTGTGCCACTATGAAAAAGGTATCCAGATGAACTTCCAAGGGGTTTTGTAATATCTACACATGCTTTAACCCTGGGGGGGATCAAAACCTAACGTCCACGATATAATTAACAGGAGGATAAATCACTCTCTGAATTGCTATCTTCCATAGATTCTTCCTCTTCTTCACACACCACTGTAGGAACCTGGTGTGTTTTCTTAGGACCTGAACCTGATTGAAAAGAGCACATTGTCGTTTTACAAATGTATGAAAATCTACTTTCAGGAACACATTTATAAGCCAGCCTCCAACTTTACCATGTAATGCACAGTGTAATCTGCAGACCCCTGTATTAATTCTATGTCGGCATGAGTTGGCCCATGTCTCAACTGAGTTCTATGGACAAGACACACAGGCTCGTAGAACAGACCCATCTAACTTAGTATCTCCACCTTCAATGCGGTATAAGAATTCAGATACATGTGTCCCCTGGAATATTCTGCAAAAATACAGAGCCATCTCCCACCACCTCATATGAGAAGATAGTGCACTGCTTACCTACAGGTAATGGGCTTCTTTCTTCATGATCATCCAAGTAATCAAAATCAAAAGACACATGAGGATTCTGTTGACAAATATTTTAAATGCCTCATTATATAATGCAAGTCCCTTAGGAACTATTAATCTTTTTTTTACTACATTTACAAACTCACTTTCTGTTTCAGCAAATTGCACCAACGTTCCTTCTTCACTTTTACAAGGATAATTGTGGGGCCATCACCCTTAAGCACACAAGTTGATTCATCTTTGAGGATGCTTCTCTGCAGCTCCATATCAGCCAAATAAAATTTGCCTTTTGCCCAAGCACTGTACAAATTTTAAAATATCTGTTGCATCAAAAAGCAATAAAACCATACTTTGGAAAGATTTTATCCATATAATATCAATCTACCTGAAAGTGATCCTCTGTGCAAAAATCCTGCAGTCATACCTACTAATGTTTTGCAATTTTATCTTCACAACAACAACATCTTGCTTGTCAAACCATTTTATTGTTGGATGCAAGCTGAAACATTAAACAGTAGGTTAAAATGGATTCATTTTTAAAATATTTATGCTGCCCATATATGAACTTAGATACAGTATTCATGTAGTAATTTAGCTTATGAGTGGCAGTTGTTACTGCTTCATGCCATAATCTAAACAAAGTTTTGCCTACCCCCCCCAGTGGCAGTTGTTACTGCTTCATGCCATAATCTAAACAAAGTTTTGCCTACCCCCCCCAGTGGCAGTTGTTACTGCTTCATGCCATAATCTAAACAAAGTTTTGCCTACCCCCCCCCCAAATCAACAAAACAAAGCATCCAGCTGAAAAGCCGCATACCTCTGGCTACTGGAGAATGAGTTTAATGGGGCAAGAATCTCTCCATGACATGCTCCTTGTGAGCTTCCTGGAAGCATCTGGCCAATTATTGTGGGAAGACTCAATATCCACATGAAGAATAGCAGGATTACATATGAGAGGAGAGAAAAGAACAAGGCAGAAGGTACACTGGGGAAGAAGAGATTTCTAGACCCAAGCCAGGCCAAACCTACATGGTAGTCTTCTCCAACGAAAGCTTACGTCTTATGAATACAGTTGTTATAACTATCAGAGTTTCCTGCTTTTTCATCAGAGCTGCCTAGTAATAACCATTTATCACTTTGTATCTTCAAGGATAGGCCATTCATGACATTCAGTTCCAAAGGCTCAAGGCAGCCCATTTAGTTTTAATATTTGGAGCTCAAAACAGTTGTGTGTGGAGTCTCCTCTTGTGTCCTCGAGAAGACTCCAGTCTACAGCTGATTGAAACCTTGGCCTTGGGTTGCTCTGGCCCCAGTCCAACAGTTGAACCTCTCCACCCTACTAGCTTGAAATGTAATTGTATCTTGCATAGGACAGACTCAACCGTTCAAGCTTTACACTATAAAACTAGAAATAAAATTAGGTATGCCCTGAAAGAACATACAGTATCAAGTAGGGCAAAAACACCTAAGGAAAGAATAATAATGTGTTGAAATTGGAAGAGTAAAATATTTAAAATTTATTTTTAAAAAAAATCCCATATATAGAAAAGTACACATTATTTGGATCTGAAGCCACACAACTTCTTTAACTTGCTGCTGACAGGTAAAGCAAGCAACCCTCTGCCAGATCTGACGTGTTCTTCCCACATCAGACTTTAATACTGCAAAGCTTTATATGTATACATGTAGATTTCTAAAAACAACAAACAATATGCACAATGCATGAAGCAAAAAAAGAAAAGAAAGAAAAGAAAAGAAAGAAAGAAAGAAATCACCTTTGGGGAATTTGCAGGTGTGTTTGTATGTGTGTATGCTTGCTTGCTTGCCCCTCCCTCCCCCATGACTTTTTCTGGAAGTAATTTTGCCCTGATGCTACCTCACCCTTTAAAAAAGCATTTTCTAGTTGCCCAGAGAGTCCATGATCTATGTGCCAAAGAAGATTCCCTAGAGTTCCTGAGAGACTTTCCACCACTGCTCAACCAACCCTAACTCTGGACTCTTCTTTCTCTGACAAGTTTTAAACTTCACACCTGGACATCTTCCAGAAGCCTTGTAAAAGTGGCCCTTGGAGCCCCGGAATAGACAAGGAGACAAGAAAAACATTACTCTCCACCCCAAGCTGTAGAACTGGGGCACATATAAGTCCCATCAAATAAATGTTGATACCATTCATGCAAAGTCTGCGGAGAGTCATCTGTTTTCTTATTTTGCACTGTTTCATCTAAAGTAAGAAATAAAACAAGTTAAATTCGCATGGCATACATTACCAGATTTCAATTGGTAAACTGAACACAACGTTCCAACTACATTTAATTAATTAGAAATGCTGTTTCAAGGAGAGCATTTCAAATAGTCCTCATCTCAGTACATTTTAAATGGCAATCATCAGCATTAATGGTAACCAATAATGGTTAAACATATTCAAGTATTAAAAAGCAAAGATATTTCTAAAAGAAAGTAAATTTTCTGGCATATTGCACCTTGGTACTGGAAGTTTCAAAAAACACCATAATACAAAGAAAAACAAGTAAAGTTTACATGTTTAAAGTTTGATGTAGTGGTAGAGGTGCTGGCCTAGAAACCAGAAGACTGTGAGTTCTAGTTCTGCCTTAGGAATGAAGCCGGCTGGGTGACTTTGCGCCAGTCTCTCTCTCTCTCAACCCAACCCACTTCACAGGGTTGTTGTTGTGGGGAAAATAAGAGGCAGGAGAAATAGGTATGTTTGCCACCTTGTGTTATATATTAAAAAGTGGGATAAAAATATAATAGTAATATAATAGTAATAATAATGTTCTTTTTCATTAGTCCTCTGCAATCTTACCATTAGGGTAGGAATTTATATTCATGTCTTCCCTGTTTTTCAGAACAAAATTCCTTCTATGGACACTTACTACATTCCACATATTCATTTACCACATTGTACTTACTACGATGATTTTGTAAAGGTACTTGAGAAGAACTATCATGGATAATGTCCAGGCTTTTTTGTGATTTCTGTACAGTGGGCATGGCCTGTTTGTTTGGGGTCTCTGAGTTAAGAGTTGCAGGATCTGAGACATTCTGCTCAGCAGATTCAGCCTTCTCATCTTTTCCATGCATCAGAGGATGTATTCTGAAATGGAAAGAGAAGTACCATAATCTGCATCCTACAGAAACAAGTCTAGTGGCCCAAATATTGGATAATCAGAGCCTTCAGCCAAGGGAAAACAGATTTAGCCTCAAGCAACATGTATTGTAAAGTTCTTAGATCCTTTTCTTTTCTTTTTGCTAATGCCAAAGCTCAAAGAAGCACCTGTGTACTATTTTGTTGCTACTGATAGGAGAAAAACATTGCAACCTTGATGCTCTCCAGTGGCCTGATTGTAAGAATTTGTTGGGAGGAAGCAAGTGTGCTGTGGAAGGAAACACACACTAGCACTCCTCTCAAAAGCTTTTGCATCAGGTATAGAAGATTTTTCCAGAGGTATCGGAACCTGGAAATACAATTCCTTGGTTATTCATAAAAGCATCCAAGAATAAAAGGGAAACCTACACACACGTATAGAGAAATGTCTTTCTCTTCTTGGGAGATCTACAATTATAATCACCCGGCAAGGCTAAAAAAAATGAGGAAAATCTCTCAGGGC